AAACCTCATAAAGTGAAATTTTCATGCCATGGGACCTTTAAAAGGAAGTGATCTGAGTAGAATTTGTTTGTGGGTCCATTTTTAAGTCCCCTTACATTTGAACACCCATTGCATGGCGCATTCAAGTCATTTTGTAAAGATAGTAGTTATAAGTTGAGCACATGTGAATGGCACTGTAAAGTCATAATTGAATTCTTTCTTTAAGCCCAGAGTTTCCAAGCTGGGGACGGTAAAAAAAAAACGAATGAAATTATCAGTATTTTTTAATTTATCTAAGCTGCATGTACAAAATGCGATAGTATTGTACAGTTGCGATAGAATATGTAACGATTTAATTTACAGCACCTTTATAAATTGAATAAAAACGCAAAAACACACTGATGCACAGTCTTTATTCATCATTTTGTTGAAGTAAAACTTAATACGCTTTTGTAGAAAAGGTGCATCACTATCTTGCTTCAACCAAATGACTTGAACACACCTGATGTCTTAATTACGACTTCCCAACTCGTAATTACGAACTTCCAAGGAAGACTTGAACACACCATACGGTCACTTGCAGCTGGTCCCCTTTACCTCAACTGAGTTTGGTTCATTTAAAGTGTTCTATTAAACCACCCTTACAATATCGATGAAGGATAAAGACAGAAAGTTAATAATTCAGTAAAAATGGTCTGTGAGATCAGGCAGCCAGACGGCATTCGTTATGAAGGTTTTCTTCCACAGTCAGCAGTGATGCTGTCATACTTGTAGCAGAGATGCTGAAAGTATTTGTTGAAGGTAAGGCAAACTTTACCTCTATAGGCACTGCATACTTTGTTATGGTACAATGCAGTATTATTATGATGAATATCTGTATGCTACAGAGGCGACACGCAGAGCTGTTAAACAGGCCGACAGTGAGGACTGTGACAATATTGATATTGAGCACTTTGAAAAGATTCTGCCACAATTGGTAAGTTTTATGTTTATACATATGCTTGAGATATTCTGTTCTTTTAAATTTGTTGTGAGTTTGATTATAGCAATACTACAGTAATAAACTATGGTCATGTTATTTGGCCCTCTGCTAAGAATTAATTCACTCAAATTGACTTGATCTAAATTTATTTTTATATAAGCAGTTTATACATGTATATATAAATATTTACATAATATGAAAGTTTTTTTTTTAAAGGATTTTGAAAAATGTTACACAGTTCTGTGCTAAATTTTTGTCAGTTGTTTTCATGCTTTTAATGAATCTTAAAATATTAGTTTTCTGTCAGTCTGTCTCACTTTGCGTATTTTTTTGATGCGTAGCAAAACCACGATATTTTCTCACAGTGTATTGATGTCAAATTTCCTTTGCAGCTTCTTGACGTTTAATTTTGCTGAGGAGCCAGTAGATGGCGACGTAACCAAGTTCTGCTGGGCCTGAACATCCTGGACTTCACTTTGCATATTCGCACAAGCTTCAATCTTATTTTGACAGTGTGTATAAGTTAAATGTATGATTGATTTAATAATAAAAAAAAAACTGTTAACGAGTTATTTTATTTGTGATCCAATGCTCATACATCTCTTAAACGTTCATATTGTTTCGTTTTTTAACTATGTGCCGCCAACATGTTCTGTGAAGACGGGCCGGTTGGAATGCCTGCTGGGTAACAGCGCTGTTATTGCCTCCTTGTAAAGAGGTCTTGAGTCTCACCCCGTGGCTCTGTAGGCCACTTGTGCTCTGCTCAGCGGCAGGTGCTTCCAGCATGCTTTGCTCCCCCATCAAAGCCTCTTGAAGCAGTTGGAATTGATTAAAGT